CTGAGTTGCTAAGTTGCTCCCATCATGCACAGCTGCTTGGTGTAATTTTTGTGAAGTAATTTCTCTTTGGATCAGGAAAAATAAATGGGCTGAGTGTGGTGGTGCACGCCTTACTCTCAGCACTCTGGGAGGCTGAGGCAGGAGGATTGAAAATTTGACCTCAGCCTAAGCAATTTAATGACTAATAAAATCCTGTCTCAAAATTTAAATTTTTTTTTTGGTACCAGGGATCGAACTCGGGACCTTGTGCTTGGGAGGCGGTGGCACCACTGAGCTAAATGCCCAGCCCAAAATTTAAATTTTTTTAAAAAAGGGTTCAATCCTCACTACAACAGTCAATCAATTGGGGCTGAGGATTTAGCTCAGTGGTACCACCTCCTGTCTCGAAAGCACAAGGTCCTGAGTTCGATCCCCAGTACTGAAAAAAAAAAAATACCCTGAACAGTCAATCAATCAATCAATCAATAAAAAGAAAGAAAAATAAGTGAAGCACCTGAGCACAGCACACAAGACCCTTAGTATTCTGGCCTTTGCTCTCTTGTTTCTCCTAGTTCATGTTGCACAGGGCCCTTTAACAATCCACAGTTCTCCTTTCTCACCTCTGCACTTTCATGCACACTAATCACTAAGCATTTCTTTTTGTGTAGCATGTGTGCCAAAACAGAACTTCCCCCGCTCAGTTCTGGGGATCAAACCCAGGGCCTCATGTATGCCAGGCAAGCACTGGACCACTGAGCAACACCTGCAGGCCTCAGAGCCCTGAAAGCAGGGGTTTTGATGAGTTGTTTGATTAACAGTATCAAAGCAGCCACAATATCAAATCTCCACAAGGAAATCTCTGTGTCAGAATGCAAAACAACTTATCTTCAAACCAGTGTGTCAATTCGCCCTCTTTTCTCTCCTGTTCCCTCCCTGGCTAGGTTTTGATGGCAAGGGATTCTTCTAGCATAATGCATGCAATGCCACCAAGACCACACCACAGAGTGCAACCATACTAACAAGAGAGAGGTATCTGTGTCTCATTGATTTTCTTGTCACCAGCTAGCCCAAGTCCTTGTGTTAGTAGAAATGGAAATTAAAACTAAAGCACAAATTTGCAGGAAAAAGCTTTTTTCTTTATAGATTTTTTATAGTTTTACTTTCAAAATGTGTATCAATATCCATATAGTTTTGTCCATCATTTGAAAACTTTGATGTCTTTTAAGTCTGTCAAAAATTCATTTTATTTCATTTATGTATTTATTGAAGATAGGGTCGCACTATGTGGCTCGGGCTGGTAGCCAGTTTGAGATCCTCCTTCCTTAGCCTCCCACATGCTGGGATTACGGATGTGCACCACCACACCTGGCAAAAGTATATGGTTTTTCTTTTTTTTTTAAGTATGTATTTAAGGGGCCAGGGATTTAGCTTAGTGGTGCTGCCGCCTGCCTTGCAAGTGCAAGGGCCTGAGTTTGATCCCCGGTATGCACCATGCCTGCCTTGCAAGAGCAAGGTCCCAAGTTCAATCCCTGGTACCAAAAAAAAAAAACCTCTGTAGCCACACTGGTGACAGACTCACCACCATTATTGCCTGGATGCTTCTTGGCAGATTCAGTTACTTGGAATCAGTAATTCTTTTCTCAGTGAAATTTTTACTTGATTCCCATAGTTCTTTCAACACTTTTTTCTAGAGTTTCCTTTCTCTTCCTCTCTCCTCTCTCGAATTTCTCTCTGTAAACAGGACTATTTTTGCCACTGCAGAAAACATCTACTTTCTCTTGTAGGAGTTCTGTGCTAGCATGCTCGTCTGGGCCTTTTTGCCCTCCGAACCACACCACCCTCCAGGGCTATGCTTCAGCCCTGCCTGGAGCTCATTCTGGGCAGTGGTGCAGGACAACATAATACACCCTGCTCAGAAAGAACGCGGATCTGATTGCTCAGGACCTGGACTCAGGACTGGCTGCCACCTAGAAAAGTTCTGGTAAAACTCAAACCACTGCAGCTGTGCTCCTGGGCCCACCGGAAAAAAAGAGCTTTACTGGAAAGATAAGAGGAGATGAGGCGGGAACTCCACAGCTGGGCTAGTAGTCAGAAGGACACACTGATAAAGAGGCTCAGGCAGTCTACCTGCAAAGGCAGAGGCCAGCTTTTAAGGATTAGCTGGTAGGCTGGGATCGGGTTACTCATTATCTCAGTCCTCCCCCTACAACCCCCTTGTGGTACTGGGAATCGAACCCAGAGCCTTCCCACTGAGCCATAATCCCAGCCCTTTTTATAAATTTTTTATTTTGAGATAAGCTCTAAGCTGTCAAAACTGGATTCAAACTTGTGATCCTCCTCCTGCCTCAGCCTCCCAGAGTGCTAGGATTATACTATGTCCAGCAAGCCATGGAGTCTTAAGGAAATATCTGCTGAGAGTCTCTGGGAAAGCTTTTGTTTTCCTGATAAAATGAGCATCCAGACACTTCTTTCTTCTTCCTCCCCTGAAAGATGATGTAATGTTTGGAGCTGTGGGGACTATCTTGTGACCATGAGGTGATTAGCACTAAGAAATGATTTTCAAACTGGAGTATGTCAGAATCACCCAGAGGGCTTCTTAAAACACTTCTGGGCTGTACCTCAATTTCTGATTCATAGGTCTGTAGCAAGTGTGAGAATTTTCATATCTAACAACTTTCAGGCAATGCTGATGCTGCTTATCTGGAGACCACACTCTGAGACCCACGAACAGGAAGACGAAGAGCAGAATGTCAGAGTCCAGGTAATTGGGCCTTGTCAGGTAACAGAGTCCATGTAAACAACTGCCCAGCCTCTGGATTTCTTGTTCTGTGAGAAAATAAACCACTACTTGTTTAAGCTACAATTTTTTTTTTCTTTTTTTTTTTCCCGGTACCAGGGATCAAACTCAGGACCTTGTGCTTTCGAGGCAGGCATGGTGTCACTGAGCTAAATCCCCAGCCCTGTTTAAGCTACAATTAGTTGAGCTAAATACTGAACTTTCTGAGGGCTGGAGTGCAGTGAGGACGGAAGGAAAGGAGTTCAGAGAGATGCTCACCTGGCAGACTTGGGCCCTGAAAATCGTGTCAACAGGAAATGCTTGGAACCCTCTCTGAGAGACCTTGGGTATTGATAACAGAGACTGTAGAGTTTTTTTATTAGGTTAATTTTTTTTTTGAGGTAGGGCCTCACTACATGACCCAGGCTGGCCTTGAACTTGTGATCCTCCTGCCTTATCCTCTCGAGTGCTGGAATTACCATGCCCAGCTGCTGGTTTCTTCTGTAATTTATGAATTTATCTAAATGACATCCTTATACCAGCATTACCTCTCCAGCTTTGTTTATTCACTTTCTGCTATGGACAATGAGGATTTATATTTCTTTATACTGTTCTCCAGACTTCCTCTCCCATATTTTTTATTTTTTGGTGCAGGGGGTTAAACCCAGGGCTTCCTGCATGCTAAACACAGGCTTTATTATCTCCATCCTCTGTATCTTTCTTATCTGTTTGTTTTGCAGGGCTGAGGACTGACACCAGGGCCTCATGTGTGCCAGGCAAGTGCTCTACCACTGAATATATTCTCAGTGCCCCCCCATTTACCTGATATAGTTAAGTAACAATATTTTGTTAATGTCAATTTTATGATTTTTGTTTTTGAGTCAGAGGCTCTCCATGCAGTTTAGGCTGGCCTCAAACTCATTATGTAACCCTGGAAACTCACTAAGCTGGCCTGGAATTCATGGTGATTCTCCTGCCTCACCCTCCCGAGTGGTGGAATTACAGGCATGCACCACTATGCCTGGCTAATTTTATAATTTGATTAAATATTATTGACTGTTGTACCTTATATTTGTTGGTTACATTTTCCCTCCTCTGCTTAAACCTTCTGTTTTCTTGCAGCCAATAATTGCTCCATTTGGGGGTTAATTTTCTATTTTGGGTGTTTTCTCTTTTGTTGGTTTACTGTCTTTTATTTATGTAATTATTTTTGAGAGAGGGTCTTTCCATGTAATTCAGCTGGTCTTGAACTCACAGCAGTCCTCCTGCCTCAGCCTCCTGAGTGCTGGGATTACAGGTGTGAGCCATCACACCAGGCCTATCCTGTCATTTTTGACAAAATGTGGATGGCAGGTGTGTGCGTTGGTTGGGCTCCAGTAGGAAGCACATAGCCATGCAAAACAAGCAATTGAGGAGAGCTCAAAGGTTATAGAAAACTGTGATGTGCCTAGAGACTAGCAGCAGCAGAAAGCTATTACTTCCCAAAGCCTGAGGGGGAAAGAGGGGAGAGCATTATGGGTCTGTGATGAGAGCCGAGGCTGTGGGAGAGGCCACCCTCCCAGACATTCTGGCTGTCACTAGAGGAAGTCACTGTGCCAGCTGGAAGAAAGTGGAGAAAATAAACAACTCAGCTTCTCTCTACTCCTGCCTCTGACTTGGTATCTGAAAACTGTCAACAGGAAATGCTTAGAGCCATGTCTGAGAGACCACGGGCATTGGGGAATTTTGTATTAGATTAGTGGGGTTTTGTGTGTGTGTATGTGTGAGATAGGGCCTCACTATGTAGCCCAGGCTAGCCTCGAACTTGTGATCCTCCTGCTTTATCCTCCCGATAAGAGGACCCTCTGGGAAAACTTCAATTTTCCTGATAAAACAAGCATCTGGAATTACAAGATTAGGGACACTTCTTTCTTCTTCTTCCTCCCCTGAAAGCTGAACAAAAGAGAAACCAGTGTGCAGGGACGAAGCCTACCCTACCCGTCAAAGTCACCTCTTGGGGCCTGGAGCAGGGTGAAGGGCAGAGAGAGAATGTGGAAGGCAACAAAACATAAGCCAGCACAGGAAGTAGAATTCTGAAACCGAGTGCATCTGAAAGTGTCTTTACTCCATACTCCCTCTAGCATGGTGATTTGACTGGTATAGAATTCTGGGCTGGTGACCACTTTCTCTCAGAAGTTTGGAACTTGGTTCCACTGCCTTCTGGCTTCCACAGTTGCTGTTGAGAACTCTATGCTATTCTGATGCCCAATCCTTTTTCCCTGTGGTTTGTTTTTCCTCTCTGGAAACTTCAGATCTTGCCTTCCTTCCTAGTTTGTGCTATTTTGAAATGATGTGTTTTGGTGTGGGGTGATTTTCTATTTTCTTATTCTAGAGTCCCTGGACTAGGCACTGGCAGGTATACCTGCCCAGTTTCTCCTAGGCCCTGAACATACAGGACCTCTTGTGGTAGATGTCATTTTCCTGTGTCATCATAGAGCACAATACAGCTGCTAGTGGATCCTGCCCATCATTGTGCACCTGTGGATGACATATTGAGGTTGCCTCAGTGGTAGGCTGAGCCAGGATTAGGACACTGGGTGCAAATGGCCATGCCTCCTCTCTAGGATCTCTGTCAGGGAACAGTCATGGAGGTTTCACTATGCAATCAGGGCAGAGAAGGGAAGAGGGAGAAATTTGGTAGAGGGAGGGGCTGCAAGTTTTCTGGAGTAAATGGTAGGTAGGTGGGTTGGCACAGTGTGAAGTCTCCTCCCATCTTGCTCCCTGGTCCTGGTATTGGGCCTGAGTCCTTAGGGCCACACTGTCTAAGACTTAGTGAGACTGCACACAAGTAGGGCTGGTTTGGGGCCAGATGACAAAGTGTGACACAGAGTTGGGGAAAAGGCCATTCTCTCTTTGTAAGAGAACAGTGGCTGCTGATCACTGTTCTCCTGGAATCCTGAGCATCAGGAACCAGTATCATTGGGAAAGATACTGGCTTTGTCAAGGTGAGCACTGTTAGCAATGGGAAATGGAGGCACTTCCAAGAGAGGCAGGCTGTGGCATGGACATATGCAAGTGTAGGAGAGAAGGAGCAGGTGGTGGAGCCCCCCAGAGCTGGCTTCCGGGGGAGACCTGTTTTCAAGGCTGCAAACACCATTCCCTGAAAGGCAGTAGGGACTTACTAATATGACAAGTTCTTGGCACTAAAAAAGGTTAGAGAGTTGTTGGAAGAGAGTTGATTGAATGGACTATGATTATTATTGTTTTTTTATTTTACTTTTTTGGTACCAGGGATCAAACTCGGGACCTTGCACTTGCAAGGCAGGCGCCAGAACCACTGAGCTAAATCCCCAGCCCGTGAATGGACTGTGATTCGTTGAGATCCTTAGTTCACTTAATGTGATAAATAGTACAGAACTGACAGCAAAATGGAGAGGATATTATCCCGCTTTCCTAATGAAAAACCCATTTTGTTAATATCACCCTGAATTAATAAAGTGACTGACCAGTGGATCTGAAACAGTTTTAGTTCAATGTATGATCTGAGAGATTTGATCTATTAGCTAGAAGATACACTAATGAGAATCTCCTCTGGCAATAGTCCAAAACTATTCACTTTGCCACCTTTTGGGTAATATTCTGAACATTTACTACCATGGTTAACTCTAATATAACAGTTTGAAAACCTGATTTCTCTTTTGGCTTCTTTTTTTTTTTTTTGGTACCGGGAATTGAACTCGGGTCCTTCCACTTTCGAGGCAGGCGGCAGAACCACTGAGCTAAATCCCCGGCCCTTGGCTTCTTATTTATGTGAGCAGGAGTTGAAAAATACTCTGATTTAGAAATGAAGAAGAGAAATCATCTGGGAGTGAAGCATGACATGATATGATATGATATGACTCTTTGATTCCTTCCAATTTTCTGAAATCCATAGACACAATGCAACTAAACTGTTTCCAGTAGCTGCTAGGACAGATAGCAAACTATAATGTGAAACAATTTTATGATAACACAGTACATTATGGAATAGAGTAAACATTTTTGTAAGAATTATCAAGGGCAGGGCTGGGGATTTAGCTCAGTGGTTTCCCCGCCTGCACAAGGACCGGAGTTGATCCCTGGTACCAAAAAAAAAAAGAAAAAAAAAAGCCTTGTCAGGACTTCTAGGGCCGGGGATTTAGCTCAGTGTTTCTGCCGCCTGCCTCGCCAGCACAAGGACCCGAGTTCAATCCCCGGTACCAAAAAAAAAAAAAAAAAAAAAAAAAAATTGTCAAGGGCAAATTCAAGACTTTTTAAAAAATTATGCTTTGGAAGAGAAGTTTGCCTTATCCATATCCTCAGAAGTTGAGATATGTACTCATTTCCTCTGCCATTTGTTTGTTTTTGTTTTTTGTGTTTTTGAGATAGAGTCTTGTATGTAGTCCGAACTGGCCTTGAACTCACTAGCTAGCCCAAATTGGCTTCAAACCTGCAATTCTCCTACTTCAACCTTCTGTGCACTAAGCCACCACGCCCAGCCTGTTTTCCCTGTCATTAAAAATGATAATAGGGCCAGGGTGTATCTCAGGGGTCAAACAATGGCCTAACATGTACAAAGCCCAGCACTAAAAAAATAAAAACATAAAAAGAGCTACTACTTGATGTAACAGTTACTTTAGGTTAAATTGAATGAACTATGGATTAATGCACAAACTGGAAGTGTGTAAGCAAACAAAACCTTGTGACTCAATACTAAATCCCCATGGGACTCGAACTCAGGACCTTGCACTTGCCAAGCAGGCGCAGTGCCATTGAGCTACATCCCCATCCCAAGAAGGCTTATTTCTTGATCATGCTACTTATCCTTATGGGCTAGCAGAAGGCTCTTGCCTATTGCTTATTTAGTCATTTAGGCTTATAATGCAAGCAACATCTGGAACATCGATGGTTGCCACGCCAGAGGGAAAGGGAGTCAGAAGTCTTAGAGTAGCAAATAAACACTGCAGGCACAAAGTGATATATCCCTTCTGCTCAAATCCATTGGCCATACCAAACCATAAGAAGGCTAGGAAATAAAACTCTATCATATACCCAGAAGGCAAAGCCAGAAATATTTAGTGAAGGGTACTATCATTCATTATATGTCAAAAGCAGTTCTAAATATACAATTACAGACATTACATTAGCTAAACTTTGCAATGATCCTGTGACATAAGTCATCATTCCCATTTTATAGTTGAAGTAATGGAGGAACAGAGAGGTTAAGTAACCTGTTAAAGTCACACAGCCAGTAAGTGTTGAAGCTGAGGATTTAAACCCAGACATTCTGGCCCCATGGTGTATATGCTTAACCTCTAGACTATGCCATCTCTCCAGAGAGGGAAACATTTGAGAAGCACCACCCTAGGTGGTGGAGAGCCACCAATGAATTATAAGCAAGTCAGTGTGAGCCAAGAAGCTTTGCCATTTTGAAGCTCTCCCTCAAGAGCAAGTTAAAGGATCAGTGTAACTGGTTCGACTATAAGCAAGGAAAGCTGTTTGCAGAGTGAAGGGCCTGGACTAAGGCGTGACCACAACTAACTTGATCCTGTGTTTCATCAACAGAAAACTGGTTAAGGTAACACCTATTCTAAAGATTTTTCCAGGAAAACAATTTAGGACTTGTGTGTTTATGAAAGTTTAAGTCTCCTAGACATACCTTGAATGGAAACAACAGGATTAAATTGTTCTGATTAATAAAGTAACAGAATTTTTATTTTCTTCTGATGTGAGGGCAGTTTTGTGGGGAGCCTGGTCTTGGGAGAAAGTTGAATTGAAGGAGAGGACTGTACTAGTGATAACTCTGAGTCTTTCATCTTACCCGCCTTTCTGATCCATCATTCCCACGACAGTAAGGATTTTTTTCCTTTTTGTGGTGCTGGGGATCAAACCCAAGGCCTTACACATGCAGGGAAAGTGCTCTACCACTGAACTACATGCCCAGCCTTTAGAATAGTTCTTTAAAATCACAAATCAGGTTATGTTTTTCCCTCTCTCACAATACAGTGCCTGATTCTTAGAGGTTTCTCAGTAAGAATTTGCTGAGTGAATTAAAGAAACCATGAGCAAGCTATCAGGTGGATTCCTAAAGAAAATGACAGGCACTAACACATTATCTATAGTAAGGATAGCTTTGGATGATTTTTAATAATCATTTTTGAGTAGCTGTCTGTCCTATGCTATGCAGTAACCACCGCTTTCCCCCATAACTTCCAGTAAACGTTGGCTACACAAAACTATATTGTGCTTAAAAGATCTAAAGGATGAAAGAGGAAGCTGAGCATGATGGCGTATGTCTCTAATCTAGCATTCTGGGAGGCTGAGGCAGGAGGATCATCACGAGTTGGAGGGCTAGTCTGGGCTATATAGAGTTCATGCCAGTCGGAAGTACATAGAGAGACCCTATCTCAAAACAAGGGGTGGGGGGAGAAAGAAAGAAAAGAAAGACAATCAGAGAAGGTGTGTTGTTTCCTTAACTGGGAGTAGGGGCTTGAACTCTTCTATCTGTGGTTGAAGGAAAGAATTATCTAGAAGACTTTGGGGTGTCCTCAATCCTCAGGTTACATAGCATGACAACTACTTTACTCAGAGATGTAGTGAGCATAATGTTGGGATAATTTATGTAAACCCCTTAGCACAGAGCCCGGCACAGTAAGAACTTGGCCGACGTCAGTTGTTTTCCTTCTCTTTCATTCCCTCCCATCCCTTCAGGCCAGGCCCCATTCATTCTTTTCCAAGGACACTCGGGGGGCGTGTCCTCCTTCCCTCCGCCCCTAAGCCCCGCCCCTGCTTCGCCAGGGATTGGTTCTTGGGAGGCGGAGCCGAGGGAAGAGCCCAGGGCCGCGCAGAGGGGGCGGGGCGCATGCGCGGGCCGTGCTGGGCTGGGTGGAGGTGGAGAGGAAGAGCTGCCGGAAGTAGGTGGTGGAGGTTGTGGCCGGGCTGGCAGCGGCTGCCGGGGAAACCGGGGCGCGGGACTCACGGCTCACAGACAGGGCAGGCCGGGGGCCATCTCGGTGTCTGGCACCCAGCAGGCCGGAGGCTCCCTTTGCCCGGGCCAAGGGTCTTTGGTTCAGCAGCCGCCGCTGGACCCGGGCCTTTCCTTGAGCCCGCCAGGGGGCGCCGCGCCGAGGGCCTGCGGAGTGAGGGGCGGACGCCGCTGAGCCCAGCAGGGGCGCGGGACTAGGCGGAAGGAGCGAGTTGCCTACCGCTCGGGAGCTGCTCTGGGCGGGGGCCTGGGAGTCCTCACCCCTGGGCTGGGGCAGGGGTCTCTGGGGGCGAGGGGGGCTCGTCATCCTCTGCCCCCGTCGGCATACTGGCTATGACGGGCAAGTCGGTGAAGGACGTGGACCGGTACCAGGCGGTCCTGGCCAACCTGCTGCTGGAGGAGGATAACAAGTTCTGCGCGGACTGCCAGTCTAAAGGTAGCGCGTCGCTCCCGGCGGGCGAGGGGTCCCGCTGTGGGTCGCGCCGTGGCGAAGGGGCTTCTAGGGCTCATCGCGCCCGAGTCATCTGTAAATGGCAGCGCGTCCTCTCTGGCTGATGAGCCAGCCTGGCTCGGGGTTTGGTGTGGGCGATCCTGTGTGTGTCGGTGGGGGAGGGGGCCAGGCTGGGATGGGGGTGAGGTACGGGTGCGGGTGGAAGTGGCCTGGTGTGTTCAAGTGAGAATGTCTGTATTTCAGGACTCCGGCCGCTGCCAGTCTAGAGACAGCAGTCTGTCACTCGCAAAGCTATGGATGAACTGCAGTGTGTGTGTGTGTCTGTGTGTGAGTGTGAGTGTGAGTGACCGGGAGAAAGAGAAGGCATAGAGGGAGGTGAGATGACGGAGAGGTTTTGCTTAAATGATTTTTAAAGGTGGTGATTGTTACTGCCTGCTATTTCGTTACCAACTCCTGTCATTTTACAGCCTTGCTGAGATCTGACAGAGTGCTCAGGTGGCTTTCTTCTTCCTGGATGTGTGGAGCGGGAAATTGCCTTATGCAGTGACACAGTGCGGATTTCTAAACCTAGCTCTGGCTTGTGGAGTGCATGGGAGGCCTCGTGTGTGTGTGTGTGTGTGTGTGTGTGTGTGTGTGTGTGTTGCCCAAAACTAGCAGATTTGGGCTGTAATGCAGAAGGAGAAAAGGAAGCAAAGAATTCATCAGATTCGTTGCTTCCATGGTGATTACACTTCTGAAGGTGAAATTGTATTATTGTAAAATTGGCAGGATTATTTAGTCTTTGTTTTCTGTGCCCCCAATGGTGAATGATTTAATACAACTAAAAATCAGTATGATAGGCAAGCTTGGTTATTGGTGAAATGTTTGCGCTTGACATTCACAGTGCAAGTTGCTATTTCCTTTGCTTTTGTTCCTAATGTGGTGGATTTGTTAGGGTTGTTTGCTGTGTAGCATATTGGGCATATAGTATAAAACAAAAATTTAAATGTATTTATTTTGAGAAAGGAAGTAGCTGCTTAATTGATGCTTCACTTGATTACTGTTTATTTTAGAAGAAGGTTATGTAAGAAGGACAGAGAAATGATGCATTGATATAGACACTTAGTAGCATATTTTTGTGGCCTCTGCTAGTAGGTAAATGAAATACATTATTAAGAAAGCTGATCACCAGACTTCTTGTCCTACATTTTTACATTAGGAAAAAGTCAGTTTAAAAAAGTACTTTAGAATCAATTTGTGTCCAGTCAGTTAATTTCTTAAAGGTTTATTCTTATTAGATCTTTGCTAGATTTGTCAGAAGATTCATTTTAAAATTTAGGAATGTCCTGTGTATAGTGGTGAATGCGTGTAATCCCAGCATGAAGCTGAGGCAGAAGGATCATGAGTGAGACCCTGTCTCAAACAAAAAAGACTTAGAAATGGGCCTTGGCTTCACTCAAATTTCCCATGTCCTTGGTTGACAGATCTTGAGTCACAGTAAAGCAACTCACTGGAGTGAGCATTGCTACATTTGAGGGTCACATGCCACTTTGATGATTAATAACCCTCCATCTCATATTACTGTTATGCTTACTCATGAGTAAGTAGAGCATATGGAGCATATGGAAGAGAGAGGTTGATTCACTACTTCTTCCTCCAAATTTCCCTTGCTCTCTATTAATAGACTTACTGGGGATCAGGTAATAAAACATTAGTTCTTAATAAGAATGAGTAATTGCTTGTTTGTAATCTTTATTAACCACTGTTGATGGTAAAATCCTGAATCCTGAAACAAAGATTCTTAAGTAATTTGGAAGGCAGCTTTTCTCATTAGTGTCATCTTAGAAAGTGTCCCAGGCCCATTCACAGGACTGTAAGCCCACCTTTCAGGTTGCAGAGAGGCAGATTAATATAAAGAGTAGCAGATTTCATGGTGGAGTATCTAGCTAAACTTTGCTTTGCTTATAAGGGTTTTGTGACCTTCAACATGCCACTTCACTTTTTCAGCTTAATTTTCCCAGTTGAAAAATGAAAGTGCCTTGTAAAGTGTTATTGAAATGTAAGCATTTTTTATTTTTTACAAATATTGATCCTATTTTATATTGACGTTATTACTTTCTCTTTTTGACTTTATTCCCTTACAATACTTGGATTCCTGGAAGCCACAGTTAAGAGTGACTCAGTTGGTAATTCTCTAGTCTTTAACCCAAAACCATTTCCTCTGTATGGGAGTTCTGGCATTTTTGAAAATGTGCTTTATGTTACCCTTGAGGATGGCTTGTGGATATTTTCTAACTTTTCAATTTTGTGTAAAAGATTGGACCAGAGAATTTCTTTGTATGGAGATTTTCTAGTGGTGGTTCTAAATTTTAACTTCCAAATTAATTTTTAGCTTGCCTCTCATTTGTTTTCTATCAGTACCTAAATCTTTGCTTGTTAAATATCATTCTTTAAAATATAAACTTTCATATAAATTTTTAATTATTTTAGCTGTATCTGTAGTATCATTTGAGAGGTTAACAAAAGTTCCACCAGATCTAGACAATAGAAGGAATTTTGCTTCCATTAAACACCCTTCTCCAGCCGAGATCAAATAACTTTCTGGGTTTTTACAGCTAATGTGTCTTAACTTGACAGTCATGGTTAGATTGACATAGTTTCAGTGGAAGTAATTTACCAAAGTCTCCATTAAATTGTCTTTTAATATGAACATGTCAAGCCTGTTCCCTGGGAGATACTTTCCTGTTCTCGTGTCTTTTAAATACCATTTTATGAGAGTGAGGAAAACTGTACAAAATACCTTCTTTTAGGGCAAACTTTGTAAGCCTAAGATCTCACACTACATATGTGCTTTCAGAAAATATTTCTTATGCACCTGTTTTGTGTCAGACAGTGTACCAGGAGATATGAGTTCAAAGATAAAGTCTTGGATCTCAAGGACTTTACAATAAAACAAATAAATGATGCAACATAGTAATCACATTATAGCATCTTGTACAAGGAGAAATGAAAGCATTGAAGAAGGCAAACAGGTCATCCTTAGGAAGTCATGGCTTCAAAGAGACAATTAGGCTGTATCTTAAAGGATAAAGAAAGACTTTGCCAGGTGAGTTTAGGAGACTTTGCATTTTAGGAAGAGGAGACAGAATGTGCATAGCTTCAAGGTGTGCCGTATCATGTGTATGTGTAAGGGGATATATTTTGACTGCATATATTTTGACTACATATTGGGGAGTCGTGAGGGGTAGAACTTGGCAGCTAGTTAGGGGCCAGTAAGGTTAAAATTCCAGCTCTATAGTTGACTTGCTTCAAGGCATTGAGATTTTGAGTATGCATCATGCTTTAGACTCCTTGTGTTTATTACTCACAGTATTGTAGGTCCATCTGCTACTCAAATGAATTGTAAATATTACCGGCATGAAATGCTTTCTAATTGCTTGTAGTAAGAAAGGTCTGAATATTGTGCCCAAAAGATCTCCATGGGAATTTACCTTCATGGGTACATTAACTTATCTTAGGAAAATCTAATGAAGTGCCAGCCATAGATATTATGCCATTTCTGGAGCAAGTGTTGTGATTTTGAGGCTGAACATGTCTTGTGCTCAAGCAGATTGTATTTTGAATATTTGATATATGTTCTTTTTTGCATAAAGTACTTAGGATCTGTAATCAGGTAACTGCAGCCTCACCTCTTGGGTATACTTGGCAGCAAATCTTTTGTTTCCAGCTGAATCAGAAAACTACTTTCTTTCTGCATTTTTCATTTGATGTCATGGTTTGTAGGTGGCAGCTTTCTTGGGCACAGTTGTCTGTATAACTGCTCACAACATGAGTCATTGTTTCTGTTCTTCTGAAAATTCCATCTTAGAAATAATGTCATGCAGTTGGTGACTGTGACATGCTATTTATGATGTACATTGCGGCTGGCTTTGTTATGTTGATGAAATCTACCTGTGTCATCGGGGAGGGATGAAGTAGCTTATTAAATTGAGTCAGTCTCTCTTCCTCCAATGATACCCCCTGTGAAAAAAGGTGCTAAGCAAGAATCTGCATAAAACACATATGCCTTATAGTCTAAGCATACAGTGCCTAACTTTTGTTATTGTGTCTGCTTCAATCCTTACCACAGTTGTTACTTCTATTTGAGCAACTGGCCAGTTTAAGTAGATACTAACTTTGAAGAAGTTCTGTACTGGCCCCTGGATCTTTGACAGTTCAGCCTACCACATTGAAAAGGTAGGAACCAAGTCTACATAGAGTAGAACAGCTTAATGTTGATACACTTTTACCAAACTCCTCTATCATTAAGGCGCCATTCCTGAATTGCTTAATTTCAAAATCATGATTTGCCACACATGACATGTCCAGTAGAACATGAAGGGCAGGGGTTGGCCCTGTTTTGTTCATTGTAGTCTTCCTAACAGTGAGTAGGGCTTGACAAGACCGTGCTGTCAGTAAATTTTTGTTTGAATGAAGGAATGAATGGGTGCATTTTATCATCCATAAATCTTTTGTTCTTTACTAGAAGAAATCTTTTATTCATTATCTGAATAAGTGCTTCAATTCTTTGGAAAATTACTTTCTGAAAAATAAGTTTTAAAATGTGTTTTGAAGTCCTTATTAGAAGGTCCCCTCAGGCACCAGTCAGGGAAATGAAAAACCACTGTAGGTCATATAGTAGAGGGCATATAATACAGGGAATAGACTATACGGGTGATACAAGTGCCAAAAGACTCACCAAGGGCTGAGGAGGTGCTTGAGGGATCAGCCATACCTGGTAGCTACTATGCCCTGAAGGAAAATAGAAGGCCAGAAGCCTTAACCTTCTGATGTGAACTAGGAGCATGGAAAGAGGAGCTGTCTGTGCAGCTGAAACCCAGGCCAAGTAAGAGAGAGAACCCTGACTTTTCTCTTCTTACCTCTTATCCCCACCACTATCTCCCCTTGAGGGGACTTATCCAGAAATCAGTTGAGAGGGGAGCCGGGGAGATGCAGTTCCCTGTGAT